GTTTAAAATCGAAGACTTCGTATCTCTTTTTCAAGCACGCATATGTGACAAAAAAAAAACGCACACACACATTATATATATATATATATATATATGTATTAGAAAGAGAGTGAAATAAATAAAATGTTCAACTAATCTTTACCTTTTTGTTGCTATTGTTAACGCTTTTATTGAGCACTCTAATTACAAAGACTGCTTGCCATAAAACCGTTATCTTTCAGAAATACACTGCTCGACCTTTTACTCTGGGAGACAAAACACAATCTTTGTTGCTATATATAAATAGTCTGGTGATCGCTTAAAAAGTAAGACTTCCAGTCACGATGCAGTGTTGATTTCTATGTCCACAGCTTAGCTTTCTGTCATATTGTGTGTATATATATATATATATATATATATATATATATATATATATATATATATATATATATATATATATATTACATGAACTCATAATGTTGTTAGTTTATAAATATACTTATGTCTGGGTACATATAGTGAAGTGTGTATATTTATATATCTGTAGAAATGCTATTGATATTACACATATTTACAATAAGTTATAAATCTACGTAAATTCAAATTTAGTTTCTATGTATGTTTGCACGTGCGTAAATATATTTTCATTCATTGACAAAAACCTATTTAGACAAAATTGAAAAATAATTCTAAATCTGTAGTTTATCTCATTATGTGTGTGTGTTATGCATTCATACTGTTACTTTATATGAAACATACATATATTGTATGTATGAACGCATACAGTAAACTGTTTGCATTTATATGTGGAAATGCTATTGATTTTAGACATATTTACGAAAGGGACTAAAAATATACGTCATTTTTACGCATGCGTGTGTGTGTTTGGAAACATAAGATTCAGTTATGTATCGAAACAAGTTTGAAGGTTTTTTTCGTATGTGCAATGTAGAAATCAAATTTCATATTTATTTTACAAGTAAGTTTAAGCTCAGAAAGAGTTCTATTTTTTAACTCATAAAAATATTTTTAAACATCACTTATTTTAGGGCTTGACCACCATGTGTCGGGCATACCGTCTTGGAGGAAGACAACACTTTGAATAAAACAGTTGATTGAATAAAATTGATAAGCACACATAGCGTGCCGATAATTATAGTGGTGAAGAATAAATTCAAAGAAAATGTAAGAATAACAACTAATAATGTGAATCTGACATCTCTGTTAAATTATTGTGATGAAATTGCATTAATATTTTAGTCAATTAGAGTTATTTCATTTAGTCAGCTTAAGGACTACCAACAACAGCAATAACTAAAAGGAATAGCACATGTAACTCGAAAAGAAAATAATGACATAATCATGATGTTGACATTACTTCGGATAATAAAAGCTTAGAAAAGAAGCTCCCATCAATACTGGAAAGAGCGATAACATTTACTTGAGAAACCAAAATTGGCTTAAGAGAAAGATTTTATAAATTTCAACTGACTGTTCCGAATGTATAAGTAAATATCTAATATTATCATTTCCATTGTTATAATCAATAATATTGACGCAACGGTGATATTGTCATTATTGATATGAGTGAACATATCTAAGTACTGGTGATAATATGTCATCGACATGAGAATCAATATAATGACGTGTTTTATTATCACTTGTATTATTTTCATCATCGTCTTAATTTTATCTTTCTGAATTCAAATCCAACCATTATTATTCACTCATTTAACTTGAGCATATCTTTTCATCTTAAAAAAACATAAGAAAGCACTCTTTTCACATGTTGTCAATGAAAATATTCTCGTCCGTATTTTAAAAATATTTTCGTATTTTTTCTTTTTTTTAAACCTTCGAGGTTCTATAGTAACAAGCGGGAAAATGGAAGAAAGCCGACTGTTCAAAACATACAACTTCGGACAAAAGGTTAGGAAGGAAAGAGCGATGACGGATACTGAACTGGAGAAACCTATTTTCCTAAAAAAAAAAAAAAAAGAGAAAAAAAAAACTGTTCTAAGAGAAAGATTTTATAAATTTCAGCTGATAGCAGTCCTGGTTGCTCGGTCAATTAATACTAAATGTTTCGGCTAATTAACAACTGTTTTTATTCAAGTCGTTGTTCACCTCCAGGAATGTATGGCGAGTAAACTGTAGTCAATTCTTCTACTATTTTTTTTTAAATTTCCCTTGTGGATGCTTTGTAGCTAACTATAAAGTAAACTAAATTTAAATACTGAAAATCATAAATAAAATATGTGAGATATATTGAGAGCGAGAAAGTTAAAAAAAAAACAAAAAACAACATAACAGACACAGGATAGAATGAAAAACAGTAACGCAACTGTCAGTTACATGATCATCAAAGCCATCGAGTGACTATATATAACATTTAAGATTCAAATTTCTATTCAAAACGTCCCAGTTCTAACCAAAAAGAATAATTCCATGTGAGGGTATATAATTCAAATTGTGATCATTACCATTCATTTAATAAAATCATATAAAATCTTTCATGTGACATGTTTGCTTAAGGATTAACAAGGCATATTTTGAATATACATTTAAAGATAGTTACTGTAGTGGATTCTTTCAAAATTATTACGTCTATAGTTCGATACCTGTCGCTTTGCTGATGGCAAGGCGATCAAATTTCAAGTCTAAATTTGTTGTCCCATTTAAAATATATTTCTTAAAAATATACCCAGTTGAAATACAGGAGTCATATTAAAAATGACTTCAAAGGGGAACATTTCGGTTTATATTTTCCTATTACCCAGAGGTTGTTGTCAAACAAGAAAAGAAAATTAACCCTTGCGACAGAGATGTCATTACAATCTTATTTGAATTGTGTTTGTATTTCTGTATGTGCGTGTGTAATTCATTGAGAAAATTAAACACCCAAAATTAAAAAGAAAAAAATCCCAAAATACATCTACTTATTTCGGAAAAATTTCCGAAATTTCACTAAAATTTTATAATTACCTGATTTTTTTAGGGTTTAAAATATTTTTCTTGCCATCAAGTTTATGATTTCATTGCTCAGCCCGGGGTAAAGTTTATGAAGAAAACTGAGTAAGACTGGGAATGTTATTCTATCTTATATATATATATATATATATATATATATATATATATATATATATATATATATATATATATATTCCTGTGTCAGATGGAAATGTTATTCGAGTTATTCCTATCTTATTTCAAACTCAATCAAATTGTGTGTGTGTGTGTGTATGTTTGTGCATGTGCCTGTGTGTATATGGCACAAGAGCAAGTAAGTCATTCACCCAAAAAACAATGACATACGCATATCCATAACACACAGATATACATAGTCATACGCACGCAGTCTGTGACGGACAGAGAATCAGCTCTTTTTTTATAAGTATATAGATTGTTTTGACTTTTGATCAGCAGTGTTTTTCGTTTTATTTCCTCTCTCTGACCTCAAAACAAGTTTCAGACCGTTGAAAAATAAATAGATATTCTTAATATAAGATGAAGTAAAACAAAAAAACAAAAAAAAACATACGCTTAGCTAAAAATATAATCTTAAAACTTTAATGTCTCAAAAAGAAGAAGAAATTTAAAAAAAAAAAAATAATGAAAAATAAGGTCGTTTCCTCTCCTTCCCAACCACTCTGCATTTTCTCGCCTTCCCTCATTCGTGTGACAATAAACAGTTGAACGAACGCATAAAAACGACAGTTAGTGTGTGAATGCTAAAGAGAGAGTATAATAAGCGGTGAGAACTCAATGTAGCCTCTGTGGTCTCCCCTAGTTACACACACACACACACACACACACACACACACACACACACACACACACACACACACACACACACACGATCCTTCACTCATATACTCACGCACACTGCAAGCACTGACTAAGAATTCAAGATTTGACGCCCGGAAGAGGTCATGAGACCTACTTTCAAACGAAACTATCGCTTTTCATTTAATCCGTGTCAGCACACACTACCCAGTTTTCTCCCAATTTATTGCTTATTTCACTCGTTCTGATAGTTTAGTTACACGTGAATACATTAAAACAATTTTAGTTTTTACTTGTCATATTTTTAAAACGAGATAAAACGCGTTATTTCATTAAATACTTTACAGTTTATAAACAAAACCGACTGATTATTTAAATAAAAATTCTCACCTCACAAAGCCGAAATCTGACAAGACATCAGAATGCTATCACTAACCATTTTCCGGATAATGATATTGTATGCTATTGCAGTATTCTAATTATTAATTAATAGTTTAAGAAACTAAATAACTGCGAACAATGAATTTAATAATTATTAATTGTAAGAAGGACTGTATTAACATAAAGTGATGGATCGTCAGTACTTGAAATAGAATTTATAGAAAGAGAGATTATAATACGGAGATGATAGATAGATAGATAGATAAATAGATAGATAGATAGTACAGAGATGATATATAATTATTACAGGGATGATAGATAGATAGTACAGAGATGATATATAATTATTACAGGGATGATAGATAGATAGATAGATAGATAGATAGTACAGAGATGATATATAATTATTACAGGGATGATAGATAGGATGATAGATAGATAGATAGAGATACAGAGATGATATATAGATTACAGGGATGATAGAGATAGATAGATAGATAGATAGATAGATAGATACAGAGATGATATATAATTATTACAGGGATGATAGATAGGATGATAGATAGATATGATATATAATTATTACAGGGATGATAGATAGATAGATAGATAGATAGATAGATAGTACAGAGATGATATATAAATTACAGGGATGATAGATAGATGATAGATAGATAGATAGATAGATGATAGATAGAGATGATATATAATTATTACAGGGATGATAGATAGATAGATAGATAGATAGATAGATAGATAGATAGTACAGAGATGATATATAATTATTACAGGGATGATAGATAGATAGATAGATAGATAGATAGATAGATAGATAGAGAGATGATATATAATTATTACAGGGATGATAGATAGATAGATAGATAGATAGATAGATAGATAGATGATATATAATTATTACAGGGATGATAGATAGATAGATAGATAGATAGATAGATAGTACAGAGATGATATATAATTATTACAGGGATGATAGATAGATAGATAGATAGATAGATAGATAGATAGATAGATAGATAGATAGATAGATAGACGGAACTGTATTTCAAAATAAGCCTCAAATCAGAAAGAAAAAAACTCAAGTCTTGCAGAAAATGAGAACGTATAGTACTGATCAAAGTCCTTAAATAATTTCCCAATTTTAGTAAAGTTAAAGTATCAATCGATGTACACGGAAACGGTAATTACCAAAATTCTAAAACGGGGACATTTATTCTGACGAGAAGGAATCTTGAATATAAAACAGTACACAAATTCATGACTTCCAATTCAACAACCTATCAGAAAATATGGGCCTGGGAAAAAAAAATTTAGTTGCTAGAATTAGGCAGCTCGAATGAAGAGGGTGGAAACATGTATTTTCTGAGGTTTCCTACGATTGTTGACTATAGGCTCATAAATGCATACATCCAAAAAGACTGTTCGCGTTTAATCAGGGGACGCACTTATAGCCCCATACGATATAGGTTTTTTTACTCAGATAACTTTTTCTATATAGATGGAGTGACTGAGTGTCAAATTCAGCCTTTTTTTAATAAATTACCCTCATGAATAAAGATAGACACTTGCAGCTTGCTTATCTTTAGAGAGTTTAAAGGTGTGTTTGCGCGTAAGTAGTTGATATAAATAAAAACAAATAATTGAGATTCAGTTTACGTTTAGGTTGAAAATTGGGCTGACTGACTTAAGAAAAAAAAATAACACAATAAACGAACAATTATCGGAGTCTGGTTTTAGACCGATGTAGTTTTAAAGCAATTATCTTTTTACACTACTAAAGTTTAGTATAGTTTATGTAAGTCAAAGGTTTACTTTACACTAATTAGAATAAAAAATAATAAAAAATGCTCGTCTTGCGTGGAGTCTCCAACGACTCCTCCCTAAAAGAGAAATGTATTTTTAAAATACATATAAGAAGCTGCATAGATATGCTTAGCTTAGGCTTGTGACGATGAGAAAGGTATGACCACAGGGAAGTTAAATGACTATCGACCTAACGATGTATAGATTTTTAAAATAAAAAAAAACGGGTTATTATCAATAGGACTTGTACGTAGCTAAACCTTTCAAGTTAAAGAATAGCTTCGATGTGTACACAGATATATAACCAAGGCATAGAAAAAGCAATTGCCCACTTTTAAAAAGGCATAGAGATATAGCATGATTTTTTTTTAATTCAACATATGAGTAATTAACTCTGACAAGTTTGAAAGAGTTTAAAAAAAAGATTCAAATAGAAACAATTGTGAAATCAAGCGTTATTTGTACCATAGGAAGTAAGTAAGGATTCAAGTAAGTTGTATTGTAAGTAAACATTTAAAATTTAAAAATTAAACAAAAGAAGATGTGTGTATTCGGTTGGTTATTTTGTTTTTGTTTTGTGCTGTTTTAATTTTTTTTTTCTTTTCTTTTCTTCTTTTTAAATGACTTACCGTTATAACGTTAGTAGAAGTACGTTGGTCAGAAGCTCCGTTGGATAAGTCCTTTGTAGTATTTTTTTTCTGGTTCTTCTTCTTGCTATCCAATAGCCTTCGGTATAATAAGATGGTATCTCTTTGTGACTGTTGACTGAGGCTTTGAAAACTGGGATCGTACCTTTGTAAACAGCCGTGGCTATGTCGTCTGTAGATGTCCACACGCCTTCGAAGTCGATCTACAACATCCCTACGACTCGGGGACAGAAGATCCCCCATGCTATCGTAAGCAGAGTGCTAAGAGCTCCGGGACAAGCCAGGCCGACAAAGAGCAACCACACCAGACTTATTTAGGAAACTCAACCGACGACTGATGGTCCCCGTAATGGTGATGATGCCGATGGTTATGGTGATGATGGTGATCTTACTACTGCTGCTGCTGCTGCTTTTGGCTCCTACTGCCTGTATTTTTACTACTACAACCACTACTACTATCACTACACGTACCTGCTGGTGGTAGTAGTAGTAGTTGTGGTGGTGGTGGTTGTAGTATTTCTGCTGGTCGTGGTACGGATTTTGTTGGATGGTAATGTTTTAAACACAACGACGATGGTGTTTATAAACCACCTTCGCGACAAGAATGCTTTTTGTGAGTCTCGTTACTCAAGACAATAGTATAAAATAAAAAGACTAATATTTGTGACAAGGGAATTTGATTTTTTAAATGTTGCTGATGGTAGTAAGTGATGGTATTTATGATGATTATAAAAAGCAATCAAAGTTGTTGTTTGGAGTCGTTGTAGCAATATAGTTGTAATGTAGTGAGTGGTGTTAGTGGTTAGTTGGGGAAAGTAGTTCGTTATTTGCTGCTAAGAAACAGATTGAGGACAAGAAGAAGAAAAAAAAAGAAAGGTTGAATTTT